CAGGAGCAGTTTCCCTCTTTGTTAGATTTTAGTGTAATGTAAAATGAGAATATTAGACAATAGAACCGTATTTTTTCTTACTTCTATTTCACAAGATAATTACATATCCTTTGGGCCAGGCAAAGGAGGGGTAGAGGCACGCCTCTATAATCCAGCTGTTAGGATCATATGAAATATTTGCGTGGTCCTATGTCTGACAAATTATTTCTTTGGAAGAAACCTCCTACTAACTTCATTGTTCCAGACTGAGTGGTAGCATTTAGCTTATCAAATGTCTGGTTGCTTTTTTACCTTCCATAAGCAGAAGGGGATTGCCTTCTGGATTTTGTCTTTGCTGCTCCATTTCAAAAAGCTTATTTTCTTAGTATGTCATATGCTGCAAGATAAATGAAAAGTTAACGTTAGTGTCCAGAAGTATGATGCAATAGCAAACAGTAAAAGTCCTATCATTTTACATATTTACCAGTTTTTGCTGGTGCTGTCTTGCTCTAAGTGGGTACTGTCTGAAAGGGTATTTGTAATATTTCTGCAACGGGATGATAGCTCTGAAGAATCAGAGATACAAAAAGTAAAGAAAGATTTTGATGTTTGGTTTTAGATTCCACTGGACTACTACAGGAAAGTCTTCTCTGTATCCTGAAATTAGGGAATTAAATTGCATTTTGCCTAGCAATGGCTGCTTACCAATGCCAAGGTGGAAAGCAGACCAGTTTTTAATGAAAACCTGAGACAAAGAGGGTATAAAAGGAACTAAGAAGCTTTGTATGACTTACTGTATTCATAGAGAAAACCTGTCTAGATAATGAGGTCATATGGTAGTCAGAAAATCATTGACATCTGTCAAAAGGAAAGTGAAAACTTTATGTATGTTTTATACATGGCGTAATGAGCTGTGAACTTGGTAGCTTTAAGTAATAGTTAAGATTAAAGGTGCCTGTTGACTTTTAAGAGTGGAACAGACTTTCTCTGTGCTTTTTTTTGTGTCTGTACTCATCATTCTGTCTGTTGCTAAATATTGGCTTGTTCTCTTAGACCAGGAGAGAGATGTCAAGTTACTGTGATAGCCAATCTGATGTACGTACATATTCTGGGAGAACAAATAGCCTGTTTATAAAGTACCCTTCAGTCTAAAGTATCCTGCTGGGCAAATTTTGCCTTTTGTGTAGAAGGAGATATGAAGAGGAAGAATTCCATACCTAAATTTTCAAAGACATAATCTAAATGCTCATTAGGTTTGAAAATCAGAGGTAATGTGTCAGGCCCAGTAGTCAGAGGAAAACTTGCCACTAATTGTAATGGTCCATTGTCCTTACGCTAGATCTTACTACTCCCTTACTGCTATATTATTATTCTCTCTTTTTTATCCATAGAGAAATTATATTGTTAGTCTCTTACTGCTGTAAGCAATTTTTAATACTTAATTCAGTGTTCCAGTAAAAAACAGAACTTTTATTAAATCTTTTATTCTCTATCAATGTCTTGTGGTTTCCCCACCACTTTTTCCTTTTTACGTATCCTATCTAGTATCTTTTAAGGTTTTCTGTCTTTTTGTGTGAGGATATGTGATGCTTATACTCATGTCTCTTCTCTCTCAGGCAGAGTTGGCCTTTTTCAAGCTTAGTGTTACAGTTTATATTGACTTCACCATTTCACAATGTCAAATTCAATTAATTGAGCAACTGTGATCTAGGTAGCATTTTCTAAATATGTTTACTTTTTGGTTTTTTGAGTCAAAACAGGCATGAATAAAAGGTTCTCGATTGTGTCTATTTTTCTTTAGGTGACAGAAATCTCTTCCTCTATCTTTATTTCTTTTTTCTGAGAAGTGGGCATAAATAACTTAGGTTTCACTAAAACTCTCCCTACAGGGCTATTTCAAGGCTTCCCAGCAGCACACAGAATTAGATTTTCACGTCCAAAGGATCTTTAAGGAGGCAAAATTAAATCATACAACAGAACAGAAAAATGGGGGAGTTCTGGGAAAGGAGTGAAGGCTGGGAGAGGATAGCAGGAACCTGGGTGGTCTGGGTTGGCAGTTTTATGGGCTTGTGTGACAATCTGAGGTCCCTGGGTTGACTGTAGATCTTTCTGTATCTCACCAGTCTCCTCCAGGTGCATTCCTTTCCCCAGGGTACCAAACCCAGTCTTCCCCATTTGGGGCACTTCTGACTCTCCTTTCTCTCATGCAGCTATTAACTCTTTCCCTCCTCTTTGCAAACGCAGCTCTCCCTCCCTGCAGCAACTCCCACTTATCCCTTTGCGCCTTTTGGCTGGGGAGAACTGGTCTTCTGGCAGTGGGGATGGGTGAGAAAGGTGATAGCAGTAACTGTTTCCTGACCCTTCGTATACATTTCTCCTAATACTTCCTTCTCAGTGCTTTATCAGCAGCAGAAATCTGAGCAAGAAGACAGGAATCAGTCATTTAGTATAAAAAGAGCCAACCCTACTCTGCAGTAGTCGGTAAATTAGCCTGTATTGTGTTACTCAGTCCTGGATTGTCTAGTTGCGTAAGAGTACTAGTCAATTTATTCCAATAGTGTGTCTAATGAACTCTGACGTTGGTCCTTCTTTGAATGATTGGGAGATCTGACTATATAGTATTTCCTGTTTCTTTTAATTCATATTGACATTAATTTAAATTCCTGTGATCCCCACTCTATCTTAGGCTATTTTTATTAAAAAAAAAACATAATGGAAATAATACAACTCTCATTCTGCTTGTGTATTTTTTCTTTTGGTATGATTTTTTTCTACTCTGTTCCTATAATGGCTAAATACTCATATGTTCTTCTTTGAATCATTGAAATGTATTGAATTTCATTATTCATCTTTAGTTGTGTTGAAAAATTCTCTTCAATATTATGTGTGTGTATTTTTTACCTTTAGAAGGTACATTGACATTTTTCTGTGACTCTTGTCTTTGTTCACTTACATTGGCTTGTAAGGTCGCAGCTAATGTGTGTCACCTGCTTTCCTGTACCCAGCACTGCTGCAGTTCTTTGCTTTTTGCTCCAGGGGGCAAGAAGCACTTTATTCTCTGGTACAACAATTCAGAGATATAAAATACAAACGCAGGGCAACCACCATGGAAGATGGTGTCATAAATAGAAGGGAAAGACCTGTAGTCTGTTTCGTTTGTCTATGCAAATGCATAGCAATAATAGTCTTTCACGACCCACACTCTGCAGAGTTAACCCAATCCTTTTAATAATCTGTGTAAGAATATTGGTCGCTATAGCAACACATTCTGTGGTACCACTTGACTGTCAAAATAACCTCATGAAATACCATGCTAAGAATGTTTTAGGATTTGATTTTAAAATAAAAAGTAAATAAATCCACCTAACTTTATAAGATATGGCTAGATTCAGGAAAACTGCAACAAGGGAACAACCATTTTCTAACTGAGGGGAATCAGACTAGTGGCGATGGATATACTGTTTATCTCATCTTTGGTGAGTGAGCTGAAATAGAATTTAGAAATTTTTTTTCTGCTGAAATTAATGCTATACCAACCACATCTGTGCATAAGAAGTTAGCACAAAAGTCAAAGATTAAATGATCCTCAGACATTACACAATTTGACTTAGTGCCTGTCTGTGCAGTGCCTTTGCTTCTCTTACAGTTTCCATCAGCTTGTGTTCATCTTCAGAACTGCTGCTGTTTCTCTGCTTCTTCCCCCCTACTTTTCCTTCACCTCTGCATTCCCCTTCTTGCAGCAGACTCCACGCATTTCTTTATTCTATTGGCTAAAATAATCTGCAGTTAAGTGGTTTTTTGGTTTTGATCTTTTTTTTCCATATGGGCCTCATAGCAGTGCTTTAGAGCTAATGTTACCACCAGATTAACAGATGTGGTCAGCTATTGTCTTAAACAGCATTATGTTGATCAAGCAAAAATCCAGCCACTACTGAAAGATTAAGACAAACAAGCATTCCTACAGACAGCATTTAGTATCTGAATATCAGGTAGGCTGCACAAACAAATGCCAAGCAGGCTAGAACAGCTATTGTGTATTCCAATTTAAATATGGGCAAAGAAGATGTGGGTAAAATTTACATTTTGTTGTTGTTGTTGTCAATTTTTTTTTTAACATAATGATATTTTAAAAATCATTCATTACTGACTTAACTTTCCTCCTCCTTCTCCTGAAATCAATAAAAGTTGCCACTGCAATTCATTCAGTTGCAGTGGCCTATCCTATGTAGCAAAATAACATAAATGAGAACTGTCCGCTTTTCCTGTTTCTGGCTGTCATAGAAAATTAGGATACTGGTTTAAGTGAAAATCAGCATTATTCCCTTATCACTGAGACCAATATGGAAGCCTTAATGCTCATGACTGAGTGACTTTTCCCACTACTTTTCATCCCTTCTAGCCAATGAAACAAAATAAGACAGGTCATTTTTAAATAAAATTTTTGCCTACAAAATAAGCTAACACATTTATTATTGGTAGATATAAAATAAAAATTGAAACATCATATTTTGATTGAATTGATCTTTTTTTTCTGCAAAACCTTGGACTGACCCAGGCAAATGTAATACAGCTGTACTTTTCTGAACACAACAGATAACTATTGAAGCAAGATCCCCTTAGCTTATATTATTTCCTTCTTGGGGTTAGTATTTTTTTTTAATGTTAGTTTTTATTAACTGTGGGATATCCTAAGCTTAATGATGTTAAAGCAAATTTTAAAGTAAAATAAAGTAGAAATTGCTGATTACTTGATAATAGAGAAAATAAATGCATATTTTTAATGTGTATTATTATGTTCATGCATATTTAAAGTATGATTGCAGATAGGTTAATATGCACCTTCCTTAGAAAGTGTGATTTTCGTAGAGCAGAATGACAGTTGAGTTAGTTACTTTGTATTAAAATAGCAGTTTATCTTTTGGAATTTATAAATGGGAGTCTTAAGTTCTTTTCATTAAGTAAAATGTTTCTTTCAACGTATCACTGTGTTTAATTTGAAAGTACTATTTCTTTATGTACAGAGGCCTTCTTCAACATGTTTATCACCAAGAGAGGAAGGAGATGATGATGCAGGTGAAAATACTTGTGGTCCTTCAGGTTTATGGGAGGCATTGACACCTTGTAATGGATGCAGGAACCTTGGATTTCCCATGCTTGCACAGGTATATATTTACCTTTTCATCATAACACTTATTAACTATAGAAGAGCTGCTTAATCTCTTCTCTGCCTTACCTATTACAGTCATTTTTAGTCTTGCCTTATTCCCTTCAAAATTGTTACCTTCTGTCTTCATTTTAATGTCAAAATCAGGTTTTAGAATCAAACGTTGAGGTTTGGTCATCCTGCTGTAATACTCTTCCAGATAAGTTTAATGTTGAGATTGTTTAGTATTTATTACCCCCATTTTAGATTTTGTGTTGCATAGCTTTCTCTTCTGATTCCATCTGGAAAGAAATTTTGAAGTCACATAGTTTCCTTTGGGATAAGTACTCTATTTTTGACCAGCTTCTAATTAATATAATGACATCTCAGCTGCTGTCTTTATAAAATTAATTGAGGACATCATGCATAACTCAACTGATGTAAGAATGTAGCCTGAGACTTCTCTTTGAAGATTATGTAAGTTAAAAGACAAGTCCCCAAACGTTTTCTAATGCTCATGATAATACAGAGGAGAATAAATAAAAATGGGTAATACACCTGGGCCTAAGTCCCAACAATTCTCAGAGCAGGCCAGTCTGCAGTATCCACCAAGGCATGCCAACAGCTGTGTCCCGAACAAGTGATATTGTATTGCTACAGAACAGGATGATGTTTATTGCTACTTCTGGGTCTCCCTTGTTCTCCTCCCAACCCCCCCCCCGCCATGGTTTAGCACTCTAATTTCTGTAACATTTTTCCTGCGCTTTTCTTGTAGCATTGAATGGAGGCCTGCTGAATTTCTATTTAGAAAAGTCTGTTTTTTTCAGTTGCATCCTTACTTGGCACTGCATTTAAATAGCTTTGTCAGATTCTTGTGTACCAGATTGGAATTACATATCCTGTCTTACCACACTTTATACACTGTTGCTTTCATACCGTGACTGTAGGTTTTATTCCCTTTAGTCCCGCGGGACTTGCACCTGTTTGAAGTCAATGCTAAAGCTTCCACTGCAGTCAATGGAAACAGGATATGGCAACTCATGTGCTTGAATAACAATGAGCACTGTCCTGTCTTTTTATAAGGAGCTTTTATATTCCTTTCCCCTTTCAGTAGCTGTTTTCTACTTCATACTATCTATCATTTTAGACATTTGGCAAGGTGCAGAGCTGTTGGAATTATCCTGCTTTACAATAGGAGTGCCATAGTTACTAATTCCTCATTTCTAAGAATTTGTTTCAAAAAATATTTCTTAAATGGAACTTTTCTTATTTAAATATGTATCACCTATGGTTTAATTATTGTTAAACTTTCCTATGATGAACATATATGCCATTTTGGAGTGATTTCCTAATTTTAAAAAACATTTTTGTTTTCCTTGTTTCTTTTTAATGTAAGATATATGTAAAGTGTGTTATAAAACTGAGGAATGCATTTGAAAAATAGAATAAAGTTAGCTTTGTTGGTTGGTCTCTCTTTCCTTTTTATAAAGAGAGGAATAATGTAAGTTTCAAGGCAGTGACTCCTCAGTTTTATTCATTGTACTTAAATTTTAAACTCAACCTTACAAATCTCATCTTTATTGCTCTGAGAACTAATAAGATTTTTAGTTATGGGTACAAAAAAGAGTATAGTCATTCTATGTTCATTCATGAAATGACAGATCACTTTTCAAGATTGTTTCTCTCCATAAAAATTGAAGACAGTTTTGGGTTTTTCTTGATTTTCTGTTTATGGAAGAAAGGAAAGAAACTAAGTAGTGACAAATCTCAGAATTACAAACCAGTGAATTCAGTTTATAAAGTGTTGCCATCACTGTATGCAATCTTTCAAGCTGTTAGCTAATCTGTTGGATCTTTCACATTTACTTCAGAATGCAGCAGAGAACATCTTGTTCTAAGGGATTGAGAACACAAAGTATTTATTTCAATTTTTAGATTAAGTCCAATATCTTGAATTGGTCTAACAAATCATGATAGATATAATCTGCAACAGCATGTTTTAGGTAAAAGTACAAAAATGTGTTTCTGATACTCGTGTCAGTCCACTAACATATCAGAAAATGCAGACTTCATCATGAAGAAACAGTGAGATAAGGGTACTTGACACCATGTCTTAAAATCCACGTGCTACTAAAGATACCAAAATAGGGAAAAGGGTCTATCGATTACTCTTGAACACAAATGACAAGTTCATTTTTCCTGTTCTTTTGTAGCTAAAAATAGATTTTACAGTAATATAAATATACTGTGTTTACACATCAAAGGAGAACAAACATAAAGATTGATTCTTGGTTTATATACACAGTCAGAGGTACAATGGTAAAATGCAAGTGAATTTTAGGTGAAATTACAACAGTGTCCATCTGTGACCTAATGAGCTAACGGTTTCCAATATGCCAAAGAAAAGGGCAGTTATCTCCTTGACAAACTTGATTTCTTTATTGCAGTTATGGAAAAAGTCTTGGCTGGAGGTACTTCTGACATGCAGTATGTCATTTCTGTCTGTACTGTGCTGGGACGTGTCATTTTAGAAAGGGTTGTTATAGAAAGTTCTGTGTAAATTGTTCTGCAGATATCTTTTAAAACCTCACATAGCAGTAATACCTGTATTCTCAGAATAAACAGCTCTCTTTTACAGTCTCACAATTGGTAAAGTCCTGGAAGAGCTTGATGGAAAATCTTTGTGTCTTGTAAAAACTTCAGGGTTTTTAGAAAGTGCCCAATTCTACATCAGAATGGAGCTACTAACCAGCTTCATCCACTCCTAAAAAAAAAAGAGCCAGAGAGCAAGGATGCCCAGCTGGATTTTGGGAGACTGAAATTTTAAATGCTGTTTCTTATTTTAGCAGAGAGTGAATTCCATTTCACATTAGGTTATGATTTATGATTAATGTGGGGTTATTCCTTTTTTTCTGAAATTAGTCTTTTTTAGGGACAGAAACTAGAAACTCCATCCCTGGTAAAACTGATGCACATTTTTGTAAAAAATGTTGACTTCCACACATGAGTTATTTATATCTGAAGAAAACTTTCTTAGGAAATTCCAGGTTCTGTATTTTCTGGCTGTCAGTCAGTACAATAGAAAAACCTTTTTTCCACCTGTATAACTGAATAACTATCTTCTACAGATTCCAGAATTCCTAATAATCTTAAATACCAGCAAGATAAAAACAGTTTTGAAAACTCCCAAAGATGTAAAACCCCAAAAGTGCTTCTACAGCACTCTCAAATTCTAGCATTGCAGGCTTCACTGGAAACAGTTTACTCTCCGATGACATGTCTATTAAACTGAGAGAACGCTTTTATAAATGGTGTGATAGTACTAGACCCTCTTTCATGGATCTCCAGTTCTTGTAAAATCTTCCTACAGTAACTACCAAGATTTTTAATGCTTTAATGGTTGCATTTCTGGCCGTCATAAAAATATGATACTAATGGACAGTCTCCCTGTCCAAGAACTGGAATAAAACAATATGATATTTCTTATATAGCGTTCTCTCAGAGTAGCCACAAAAATAGGAGTTATGTGACAAAGTATAATATTTAGCTGGAGAGATCTCACTATGCTGTAGGTAAGTACTGGAAAGAAAACTGAGATATGATCCTTAAACAATATTTGTGAGCAATGCCAGCTAGCGATAGAAAAAGCTGGAAGCATTGTAGTGTCATTATTATTGACCATCTTAAATGAGGAAGCGTTAGTCAAGAGACTCATAATTCAGCTAAATACAGAGTCGGAAAGTTTAGTGGTAGAAATAGCATAATCAGCTTAATATGAACATGGTTAGTCATAGTTATTAGGATGTCCAAAGAAACACAGGCTGCCAGGACAGTGTTCTGCGGATAATTGGGCTGACACTACGGCTTTGTTTGTGCTCTTCTTGAGGAATGATCACGGCACAGATAATGAGAGCAGTGAAGATGTAAGAACAGAGGCTTCAGCACAGCGCCTGACCTCGATGACATACCTGCTGAGGCTGCTAGCCGTGGAGTCGGGCTGTAAGGCTGTACCACCACCTTGTCTGCAGTTCGTAGACTGCAGTGACAGCTGCCGTGTAACTGTAGAGAGACAGCCACAGCCTCGCTAGCAGGCAGACCTTCAGTTATTGAATACGTGTGCCACAGGTCCTATTTTTCAACCCGTATCACTCCTGTGGTTGTAGTGGGAGACTGACACCTCTGAAACCCAGCCTTCAACTGAGTTTTCTTCCCAGTCTGAGTTTCAACAAAGTACAGGAACGATACTGGTCACGGGAGGGGCTGAGCTATGAAGAGTGCTGTGCGTGTTGGTCTGCTCCTGGCTCTCACTCCTGCCTTATGGAGAAGACAGAACCTTAACTCCGGCAATCTCATTCTATTTAAATGTGAAATGGGCATTAAGCAGCTCAGGTCTGGAGGTGAAGGTACTGGAATACTTCAGCCATTTGTCCCATAAAGTCTCCTTGTGGCAGAAACTTAGAAGATTGAACAAGGGATAGCTCCTCTCTCTCTCCTAAACACACATTTTGGTAAAGTAGTAGGAAGCAATTTGAACAAAGACCAGTTTGGGGAGGGCATTTGTTTGCTTTATCAATTGGTTAAGGGCTACAAGGTAAGGAAGGGGTAAGGAATATGGTAAGTAAGTGTAGAGCACTCTTGTGTGCCAGTAATAGAATTGTTTCTTGGGTCTTAATCTTCTATTCTGCAGTGTAGGCGAATTTACTATTCAGCTCCTAATATATTTATTTTACAAAGTTTATCAGTACCCACACACATACATACTCACACTTTCTTTGCAATGAAGCAGCATACTCCAAATGTATGAAACTTTGTAGTTTTCATTCCATTTTCTTTTTCATGGATAGTGTGCTTTAAATATTTCTCTGCTAAGGGGCAAACAGGGCCTGATGTACGGGATAAATACAGGGCTGTCTGCTATGTCAGAGATGGGTGGTGCAGAGTCCTGTGTGATCATAGCAATATTATCAGTTTAAAGCAAGCATTCTGCACACCTTAATCTTGACAGCCATGCCAGCATAT